CCTTCATCTTTTGACATTATGGTTCACTTGATTATTCATATAGTAAGGGAGATTTTATTATGGGTCCAATTTTTTTACGGTGGATGTATCCAATAGAGCGATACATGAAGATCCTAAAAGGGTACACAAAAATTCCACACCATCTGGAAGTATCAATTATTGAGAGGTACATTGCAGAAGAAGCAATTGAGTTTTGTTCTAACTATTTGTCAGGAGTGGATGTTGTAGGGGTTCCCAAGTCTCGTCATGATGGAATATGTGAGGATGTGGGTACATAAGGTTTAAAGACCAAGAGCCTAAGTATTGATGTGGTTGTTCAAGCATATTTGTATATATTGAATAACACGGATGAAGTTCAACCTTACTTATCTGCTCACAAAATCATCATAAAAAAAGTATCCCAAGATGAATGAAATATGGTTGTTAAAAGAGCATAGTAAGTGTTTCTCTGAGTGGTTTAAAGAAAAAAATGCTAATGATGATAATGCTTCTAATACAATTAATTGGTTGTCCTATGAGCCTAAATGTAACATAATAACTTGGAGTGGATATGATATTAATAAAAATTACTTTTATAAAAAGTTAAAGGATGACCGTAGTACCATGCAAAATAGTGGGGTTATGATTGTGGATGAGTCCATGCACTTCTCTAGTGCTAAAGATTAAAACCCGTTATGGAATCTACGCGCTACTTTGGGGTGATTAAAGAGATTTGGGAAGTTAATTATGTTGTATTTAAAGTTCCTGTAATTAAATGCAAATGGATTGATATCAATAGTGGTATGATAATAAATGAATTTTGAGTTACACTGGTTGGTCTTAGCAAGTTAGCTTATGCGAACGAACCTTTCATCATGGCATCTCAAGAAAAACAAGTGTTTTATGTCACAGATCCTTCTAATAAAAGGCGGTCAGTGGTTTTACAGGGAAAGGTGCATGATAGTGATGAAAATCAAGATGTGAATCTTGATATTTCTGAAACTCCTCCTTTTCAACAAATGTGCCTACCTTCATTGAAGAAAATGAAGAGGATGATGTACATGGTTTTCACATAGATCATGAAGAAGGGATATAGGAGGACTAGTATGGTTTTTTTATAAGTTAATTCGACAATACTTTGATTCCTAATTGTTTTTGTTTTGATTTTAATTTGATGTCTAAATGTTGTTATTTTTGTGCTTAATTTGATGTCTAAATGTTTTTATTTTGTGCTTAATTTGATTTCTAATTGTTTTTATTTTGTGTAAACATATACGTGGGCGATTCAACCGATAATCCTTCTTCATCTAGTAACCCTAAGAAAAGAAGAGTTAGAGGTCCCACTTTGATGGAAAAAATTTACAAAGTTCATCAAATAGGTGAAAAGATAAAGGTTGAGTTTGATCCAAGAACCTATGAATGTACCGGTGTTGATAAAAATGCTACAAAATTTAAGAGTTATATAACATATCTTGCTCAGTAGAATTGTAGTATTTTGAAAAATGAGTGGAAAGACGTAGATGGCGGTATAAAAGAGGCTATTTGGGTTGATGTTAAAGTATTTTAAATTCAACACTTTATTATATTTCATAATCATATACTACTTAACAACATATGTCGTATACTATGTGTGTAGGCTCATTTCATTATTCCAGAATGTAAAGATCCAAAGAAGGATCCGTTGAAGAAATAATGGATTAAGTATGCGAGAGAGTGATAGAGAGGTTTTAAGACACAACTCGCAGACCATTATATTAAAAATCCCAAGAAAGATCTCCCTCCTGCACATATCAAGTATAGTTATATTAAAGATGAAACATGGAAAGAGTTTCTCAAGACTCGAGATACCCCTGAATTTAAGGTTAGTAGAAGTTATATTTTTTTCGCGCATAACATTATCATTATGTTTAGTGATTAATAACTTTTTGATGTTATAATAGGAAAAAAGTCGAAAGGGTGTGGAAAATGTGGCTAGAAATGTATACCCACACATATTATCTCGTGGAGGGTATCGATTGCTTGAGGAGAGAATTATGAATGAAAGGAAGTCATCGACGGCTGATTCCACATTAGATAATACTGGTAGTGCATGTCCACCGTCACGCCATGAGTTATAAAAGAGAGCACGACAAAAGAAAGGGAGAGAATACACATCAAAGTCTACACAAGTTGTTGCTGAGAAAATTGTAAGTAGAATTTGGAAAATACTTCAAGTATCATTATGTTTGTGATTGATAAAAACTAATGAAATTAGTTGTGGTTATTTCCTTATGTAGGATTCTCTAGTTGAAGAAGCTGAAAAATGTACCTTTGTTCCAGAAGGACGTGATGATATCTTAACAGCAGCCATTGGAACATCTGAGCATGGCAGTCGTGTTCGTGGTGTTGGAAAAAACCGGAAACAAAGCACTTATTTTGGAAGGTTGTATTCACGTCAAGGATAACATATAGATGTAAATGAACAATTTGCACAAATTTCATCTAAATTAGAAGCAAGAATATAGAGATGATTTTGAGCAAAAGTTGTGTGAAGAGTGTATTCCCGCCCCTACTATTCACCCCTCCCCCATTTAGACTATTTTATTACTCCATATTCTCACCCAACAATTGACATCAAGAGATGGTCTTTTGATTAAGTCTAATCGACTCCAATTTTTTTGAGAATATTTCAGACGATGACGATCCAAAGGGAACATACAATAGAGCACCATTTTTTAGAGGTGGATATTATACTTATTGGAAATCGATCATAAACGTACACTTACTATCAATTGAAAAAAAAATGGTGTGCCGTCACCAAGAGACCATTTTTCCATATGGGTGATGATGGAGTTGTAAAACACCTAAAAGATTGGAATTATGATGAATCCAAAAAGGCTTCATATAATTTTAAAGCGAGAAATATACTTATCTCCGCTTTAAGCGCAGAAGTATTTTATGATATATCACATCATACAAGTGCCAAAGATATGTGGGGCGCTCTCCAAACTCTATATGAGGGAACAAATGATGTCAAGGATGAATATTCTGATTCGTGAACTCTTTATTTTGTTGAGTTTGAGACAAGACAAAGTTCTCTATCATTAGTTCTAAGTTTGACTTTTTTAGGGGCAGCAGGAGCAACATGGGCTATTGCGTAGTTGGCCTGGTTAGGGGTTGGTTTAGCTAAAAATTGACACTCAACATCCGACAAACATTCTCTTATGATGATTGTAATAGTGCATATCATATTCTTCCATAAATATATTTTTTTACTCAGTCGATTCATGGAAACACTTTATTGAATGTAAAGAACATGTTATTCATCATAATATCATTTCACAAGTATATGAAAATGTTTTCATCTTTATGTAAGGATAATATCTTCTTGGTCAATCATCCTCAAAATATTTAGTTGGTGCAATACTTGTCATTTCTCTTGGTGCAATAGATATTCAAAGCATGCAACACAAAACTCATTGTGAGTTGTCACATAACCTCAAACAAATTCTTGCGTAGATCCTCTTGTGACTCTAGTTCTTTCATTGTTAAGTATGCAATGCACTTGTTGATATGAGTGGCTTCTAAATTGTGATTTGTGTTCTTTCAACAAAAACTCAAATACAAGCAGTAGTAAATCACTATTGATAATAACTCAACAATGAGGTGTCCTATGATTCCACATATCTCACACTGGGGAGTTACTGCAACCACGATGGTTGCGGGATTGATACTAAGATTATCAATTTTATGGGTAAGGGCATCGAATTTTCCATTCATATGATTAAAGTTGCTAATTTCATGCATACCTCCCTTCAGTTGCATTTTCTCTACAGGAGGGTGTTCGCTCCCCCACTGATAATGGTTCTGGGCCATATTATCGATGGGTTGGTAGGCTTATTGGAAGGGTTTGTCCATCGAAGCTCCTCTCGCAGCGACATCAACAGTCATTCTTGTATTGAAAAGAAAATTGTTGTAAAATGTATGAATTATTAACCATTTTTCTAACATGTGATGCATACATGATCCCGTCAAGTCTTTGTATCACTCCCATGCTTCAAAGAGAGATTCATTGTCGGTCTGTCTGAAACAGGTAATGTAGTTTCTTAACACTATTGGTCTGTCTGAAACAAGTAATTTGATTTCTTTAGCGGCATAGACTGTAGTCAAGCTCTGACCCTGTCTCTTAGGAAGAAAGGAAATAAACACAACTGAATGGCTTCAGGGTCAACGCTATTACTTTTCAGCGTGTCAGCAAATTACACAAACACTGAAAAATGCACATTCGGGTCCTCCGTTGGATTTTCGCCTAATTGATTCTGCTGGTCGATTTGCACCCGAAATACTTTAAACTCAAAGTTTTTAGCCTAAATTACAAGATTAATAATGTTTGAGTGTGACTCGTCCTAGATTGCAGGATTAACAATGCTTGACATCAATTGCAATGATCATTCTAATGTAATGTATACTATTTCCACTAGCCAATTTCAAATCAAAATATTACTAGAACAATGAGTGAACAATAACTTCATACTTTCAAATATATTCTTATTCATGAGTTTTTTTGATAATTGTGATCTTCCTGAATTTGAGGAAGATTGGGAACAACCTGAATTTGGGGAAGATTGTGAACTTTTAAACATTCGGCAAACATTCTCTTATGATGATTGTAATAGTGCATATCATATTCTTCCATAAATATATATTTTTACTCAGTTGATTCATGGAAACACTTTATTGAATGTAATGAACATGTTATTCATCATAATATTATTTCATAAGTATATGAAAATGTTTTCATCTTTATGTAAGGATTCTTGATGGAGTATGCATATGCAGTGTAATTGAACTTGATGGAGAGACATTAAAAGACAATACCAAGTGGATCTCTCATGTCATGGACAACATTCTTTAACAATAATGAATTTCTCAACGAAGAGGGTGTGAAGAAAATGTTGAACGAAGAGTATAAAAATACACAAGTTTCCTTGACATCCATCACAAATGACATACTCAGTGAAGCATCAAAAGATAGTGATACCTTAAATCTTGAGAGCTTTAGCTTGTTTGTTGTTGAAAACATTTGAAATGGGTTTCCATTTACCTGCAGCTATAAATAAGACGGGCATCATTTAGCAATAGCCAAACATCATCAAAAGTGACAAATGTGGCTATCTTGCGGTGTACGTTGGTGAGGAAATGAAGCGGTTTGTGATTCCCACATCATACTTGAAGCTGTTGAGTGAAGCAGAGGAAGAATTTGGATATGATCATCGAACCTTGCACGAAACATGTCTATAAATGTGCAACTGCAAGAGAGTAACATAAATTAGTATTGACATTTTGTAGAATGAATATAGGCATGTTGTAAAAATTTGATTGGGAAAATGGGTGAAAATTGTGTATATGAATGAGAGACGCACACAACTGGGAAATCTATTATTTGAGGTTTTCTGGAACACATAATTCAATTGATAGCTATGATGTGGTGAATTTGAGGTTTTCTGGAACACAAAATTCAATTGATAGCTATGATGTGGTGAATTTGAGGTTTTCTGGAACACAAAATTCAATTGATAGCTATGATGTGGTGAATTTGCATTTGATTTAGATAGAAACACATAATTCAATTGAAAGCTTAGGAATTTGATGTTTTCTCTAACACAGAATTCAATTGAAAGCTTATGAATTTGATGTTTTCTCTAACACATAATTCAATTGAAAGCTATGATTTAGACAGAAGAAAGTATAATAACCAAATCAGAAAAAGAATTTAACTATACATAATGCATTGAAAGGAAAACAAAACCCTAAACGCAAAATCATAGACAGAAGAAAGTATAATAACCAAATCAGAAAAAGAATTTACAAAACCCTAAACGCAAAATCATAGACAGAAGAAAGTATAATAACCAAATCAGAAAAAGAATTTACAAAACCCTAAACGCAAAATCAAAGAGAATACAAACAAAAGCCTAAACTAATAACAAAGAGAAGATGAAACCCTAGTAATGTCTGAACGGAAAAAATCGCAAAAAAATTTGGACCATTTCTCGATTTGTGCGTGTCATCCTTGCGCAGGGGCCATGCTAATCTTCTCTGTATCGTTCCAATTTTATCGGATGTCCCCGAAGGGACGAACTGATATGACTTAACAGTGTTATATAAACGCTTCAATATTAAATTAAGTAGTCAATGTGGGACTAAAAGCAAGTAACCTGCAAATACTAACTTCTCAACATTCACTTCCCAAGAAAATGTCTCCCTCTCCCTCTAAGTCAATTGAGTTTCAGATTCTCCCTCTCCCTCAAACTCTCGTACCATACCATACAAGCATAGTTGACACCTATTTGTTTATTTTTCTTAATTGTTTCTTGTATAGTTTTTGAATTATCAACATTTTATATGCACTTTTTTTCTTTTCGTTTACTTTTATTTTTGTTTTATAACAAACAACTCTAAAATAGTTTATGGGCCATTTTAATATTGTTTTTTTTATGGGATTTGAACTACAATATTGAAACCTTTAGGTTCTGTTTGCATGTGTTGACACATAGTTTTGTTCAGGTCCGCACATGATTTAAATTTTATACTAATGTGTCGGCACACGTGTCAATGCTTGACATTCCGTGTCGGCACATACTATTGTTTGAGTCAAATTTTTCATTTTTTTTTAATTTCGAAGTTTTCCTCTTTGCAACCAAAATTCCACAACTATAAATACATCAATTTCGTGTTATGTTAATCAATTTCATTAGTTATTCATATTCCGTGTTATCTTAATCAATTTGGTTACTTATTCATATTTCGTGTTATCTTAATCAATTTGGTTACTTATTCAAATTTTGCTCTGGAACACTTTCAAGTTTGGCTATCGCTGAAGAACCCGACGTTGTTGACGTTAATCGGAAGCGCCGTTGAACCCGGTGGCGATTTGGTATAACTAGAATGTGTTGGGACTATCGATTTGGTTATGTTTATGTCTATTTATGATATGTTGCATTGATTGTTGATGATTGTTTCTCAAACCTCTTTCTAGATTTTTGGTTTTGGCTCAGAGAATGGAAGTGATGGGGATTATCCTCCAGTTTCACAAAGTTCATGTAATCCTTATTTTGTAATGGCGAGTCTGTGAAATAAACCAGCTCTTGTTAGGCGATTCAATCCACCAGATAGTTCTTCTGCATGTATGTTTCAAATTCTTACCATCAAGACTTTCATCTGTGTGGTTTTTGTCTACAAATTTCTAGAAGATTGATTAATATACTATCATTGTGTTTTTAAGCTTCATCCATTTCTCCTTAAGCTTCATTCATTGATTGCAACTTGATAATCACCTGAATCAACAGGAAATGTCCGTCTTGATGATGATGGTTGGTTTAATCCATCGTATTCACTTGGAGCAACCATCGTCCGTGAAGTAGAAAGAGCCTTCTCCAAACCTAACTGCGACAAACGTCTAGGTGCTCGAAACATGAAGAAGAAAAATTGCTCATTAATTTTCATCTCCATAACTCGTGATATGAAAAAGTGGCTAAGGCCAATCACTTAACAAGACTTAATATGTAAGAATTATTTCCATAAAGTCAGAGATTGATCTCTCACATAAAGTAATTAATATCAGTGACCAGAGTCGTTTATAATCATACAAATATTATTTTGGGTGGATAATAGTTTTATTTTCAAATAAAACAGACATACTCAAATTTACTTATTTTTATTTCTCTTCTACATAGCAGAAATTGAAATGTGTTTTAGCCAAGGTAGCCATACAAAGCATATTATTCACTATTTTGAGAATATAAAGTTATAGCAGAGAAGAGAGTGAAAGTTAATGACATATTATTCACTATTTTGAGATTTATAAACAATAGAATAGAAGAGGGTGAAAGAGAATAATATATATACTAAAAGGAGATTGTTTCCCTTTCCTCTCATATTCCAGCAGTTCTCTAATAGGAAAATATGCGACCTTCTGACAAAGATCAAATAGATCTGAACCAGTGTAACCCTCGCACACGCTAGCTATATAAAATATTAATGATAAACCAAAATAAAGAACCGCATTTAAAATAAAACGTATAGCAAATTGATTACATAAAAAATTAGATACAATTTTATATTATATAATCACAAAGCTAAAGCTTGAGATATGAAATATAGTTATATAAGCCAAGATTATATTAAATTGTATAGATACATATTAAAGGTGAGTGGATAGTATGGCATGATTATTTCAGTTTACAGAATGTCTTTTTTCTTTACCATCATAAACATTTTAATTAGTTATATTATTCTTATCTTAGTTTTATGAAGATATGTTTATTGAAGGATTGGAGAATGAGATGATCAAGTAGCCACTGTATTAAAAAATTGTCAATGAGTCTTGCTAATGATATTAGTTTTCATTATTTTCTATTTAATGTATCTAAAGAAGACTAATGTGAGCAAATGTTTCAACTGATCATGTTCACACATAAAAACAAAACTATTTTAATATTGGTCTATTTTTGAGTATCCATGTGGATGAGAAGGGGATTATGAAGTCTGTTGTTCAGTGTTTCTTGGAGATATATGTATTTAGTAATATTTTTTTCTAATAAATCTTTGTTGCATACAACTTTCATTTAACTGGATATGTATTTTTAGTGGTATAAAAACATATTCTATAAATTATTTTATGCATAAATTATTTTTAAATAATATTACTTTTTTTAGTGAAAAATAATTTCAAAATATAAATTAATTTTACACATTTCACTGATCATATTTTTTTTAATTAGGATGGTTTAAAAAAACAATGACATTACATTAAAAAATAATAAAATATAAATAAATATAATAAAAAGTGATACCAAAATATATTTAAAATAGGTTTAATAATTTTTTTTATCAAAAAATTTGGTTTATCTTGAATATGAAAAGCTATATTACAATTTTAATCTCCAATTTTATTTGATTCACAAATATATTCTCTTTATTTTAAATTTAAAAATTTTTGGTTCGCTCTCACGTTTTTAATAGAAATTTGATGATATTTTTTAGTTTTTTAACTAATATTTTTATTTATAAAATTTTACAATAAATTTATATATGATTTTTTTTTTGAAGATTGTTATTGAAGATTAGGTTATAGGTTTAACAGGATACTCTCATACATTTTAGATTTGTAAAATTTGTAAATATGATCTAATAAGAAGGTTTTAAAATTAAAATTTAACGAGAAACGGTCATACATTGTAGTTTGTAAAAAAATACAAATATGATATAATAAGAAAGTTTTAAAACTGAAATTTGACGGGGAGCTCTCATCTATTTTAGGTTTGAAAAATGGACTAATATTTAAAATAGGTTTAATTAATCTTTTGATTTTAAAATTTTAAGAATATATTTTTTTTACTTAAAGAACCTATAATAAATATATATATGCAATTTCTAATTGTTAGAAATAGTGTTAGGTTTACAACCTGTTTTCGGTCCTCCTAATGGACCAACATAAAATGTCCAAAGAAAAATATGAAGGGAGTGAACGCAAGAAACATGTTTTCCCATCATTTTACCCAAGGTAGACAACTTCACACTCTGATGCATCACCCACCACCAAATCAATCAGGTGACTTTCCACATAACGCGTTGCATCCATCGCGGTCGGTTTTAACCGCACCTGTATATAAAGAGACTGGCACACCTTTCTCACGTATTCAAATTCATTTTCATTTTTCACATAACTTGAATTCTCTCACAAACATGGGCGTTGTTATGCTAACCTGACAGGCCCACTTCTGTGTTTCCGAACCGGAAGTCTAGTTCATATTTTCACAATCCATTTAACTATTACAACCACAATCCTAGTTTTAGATTGGAACATTAGTGTCGTTTTTGGGAATCAAATCTTGATTCCTTCAAGTTTTTATAAAAAACACCATATCTTGCTCAAAGATCCAAATCTCATATTTTCATCATTGTAACGTCGATCTATTTCGCTGAAGCTCAATAATAGAATCTTTAAGACTATGGAAACATCAAGAAACACTCTATCTCAAAAAGTTGATATGGTTTCCACTACTATCAATGCTAAACCACTCCCTTCAGAGATAAAAGATCCATTATTCGTAACTTCTCCATCTAATTCAACACTGAGAGATATGGCTCCTTCGAGAATTCCCCAAGGAGAAGTCCAAGGAAGGCCATCAAACATCCTCCTTTATAAGTTTCAACCCATAACATATATACAAGAGGCTCTTCCCAGCATTCAATTGTTGCAAGTCAGTCTAGGCGTAAGAGGAGCCCTTGATCTTCTGAATATCATATATAACCTAGTCTTTCAGGAAAATTATCAGGTTTTGGATAGTAGGATCTTGATAATTGAAGATAACTTGTGATTTTATCCTCTAAGAAACAAGACCATACGAGGACACCCTCATACAACTAATAAGTAGTCGTTCTATAGTAGATCTCAGGGAGAACAAGAATCTGCATATCCCTATGGGGATATTGTTTCATGTTCCTTGAACACAGAGGGGGAGCACCCCCAATAGAATTATTTTGTTGCTTGTATTGTCACTTTTGTTTATTATTGTTAATTTAGTCTCCCTCTTGATTGCACATCTTTTGAATCGTTTGAATTGATTCGTTACTCATTTTTTAGCATGCATAAATCAATGGTTATATATGGACTTGATCATGATGCTTTTAGTCAATTTCATGAGTCAGCGAAATAAAAACTATATGTGTTTTTTATTCAAGTTAGGTGCAAAGAAAAATCTCAAAGTATTTTTAAAACATGAAAAATTGAAATTTTGTGTGTTTGATTCGAATCAATCAAATCAATCACACGTTTTGATTCAAATAAAATTGGAGAGAGACAAACCATGGATTTTCTAACACTTTGATTTGAATCTGAGTTTACACTTGCTTCGAATCAAGCTCCTTCTGGTCACCTCCACTGGATTTGAATCAAACTTTACACCTAATTCGAATCAAATAACTTTTTTAGCATGTTCTAGTTGGGCTATTTATAGTTGATTTGAATTAGGATATGCACTTGATTCAAATCACGGGGTCTTTGATTCAAATTAGACTTTGTTCTTGATTCGAATCAAGCATGAAATGGGTCAAAAAATTGATTTTTTTTATTCCATTCACTTGCCCATTTGACTCAAGCAATGTAATATTCTTGATTCAAATCTAACCAACTTTTACCATTCATTTTGTGCTTAATCTCAAGCACATATAAAACCTTTTTGTCAACATTTTTCATGTAAGATTTTCATAATCATTTTGTGATTTTCTATGAGATCAACTTCCTCTCACTTTTGAAAAAGTTCAAAACCCTTGCAGACAAATTTATTTCTTCTTCAACCTTTGTTTTGATTTTATATCTTAATAACGAGAGGCATGTTATTGATTAGGGGAGACAATATCTTGAAACTAATCGTTCTTGAAGATTGGGCCAAGATTTTTATGTTCTTGCAAGATTGAGGAGTTGTCATTGGTGTTCAAAAATTCTAGTGAAAAGAAGGAGACTCTTCTCTCCAGATTTCCTTAGTAGTGACTGTGTGGAAGGCTATGGATAAGGCATAGTTATTCTCAAATATTTGGATAATTCATCACTCAAGATATAAGTAGGATCAAGGGGCAATTGCTACGCACGAAGGCTTGGAGAAAATGGCTGATATTGGAAGATTTAGAAGTATTAATTGAGTAAATATTGCACCGAATAGTTTGGCATTAAGTTGTATACAAGTCAAGATCCAAATAGAAGTTTTATTTTCGTCAGCATTATTGTGGACTAGTGATAGTATGAACTCATACAATATTTGTCAAAATAAAATGGATCTATGCAGGTTCCAATGGGAAATCATTGAAGAGTACAAGTAGGCAAAGCGAAGGAGAAGGCGAATGCCAAAGCACTATAAATATCATTTTCTTCTCTCTCTCTTTTACTCTTGCATTTAATTTTCGTAGTATATTGCATGCTTAGGTTTTCACTTCTTAGAGTCACTACTAAAAATAACGCTTCTAACCTCGGACACGAAATGCATTTTACCTTGGAAAAAAAGTTAGATAAATAAGGTCGTCATAAAAAGTAAAGAATTATCACCTCGGCGTTTAAATCACCAAGGTATAATTTTATTAGCGCACGGGTTCGAGCCCTAACAACAACAAATTTTATTATTTTCAAAACTAGCATATCTGTTATCTCAGTTTATCAAAATAACTAAGGGGTGTGATTATTATTATTTTTTAAAATGGTTATATTGTTTACCCATGATATTACATTGTTTACCCAGAATATTAAAATCAAAATAAAAATCAAATTCCTTCAAGATGTACACTTTAGATCTTCGGATTATTGAATATAGGTGAAGATCAAATGTTGGGTACAAGAATAATCTCTACAGATCTTGCTTGCATTTGTTTTTGGTGAAAAAAAAGGGTAAGATAATTAATATCAATAATAATAAATATTTTTG